TGAATGTGAACAAATGTGATTTGTTTATTGACAGCAAAAAGCAGAGAGATGTCTGCAAGTATTAGATGTAGCGGTTTGCTCATCAACATTTTTGGCTCAACTGCAGGTGCCAGTTTCTGATTCTAGATCAGAAGGTATAAAAGTCAAATGTCCACCTTCCTATTCCTTGTGAACTCACTCCTTCACCTTATCCTTAGCATCCAGTCTTCAAAACTACAAAGGCAGCATACAGGCAGGGGGTCAACTGAAATTCTTCACAACAGACTCTTGAAGATATTGAAGCATCAACTGACAAAACCAAACCATAAAAAGCCTTTTTTTTGCCTTACAGTATGTTCACAATCATTAAAACAACAACAACTCTGAGTCACCGTAAGTGGCAACAGTAACTCTCAGCAAATTCAGCTAATTTGGTTTCCATCCAAAACAGACATTTTGGTTTGCAATATATTTTTCAAACTGGTCCCACATTCCACAGCATCTAAACAAATGAACAACTAGAAAAGCATCTGTGATAGAGTGAATTTGGCAGTATAGGCAGCAATCAGTTGCTACCCATAAAACACGCATCCCTTTGTGCATTTGTTTGCTGTTGTCTTGTTCGCATTAACAACTATGCATCTTATACTCAAATCAAACAGAGCAAATGTTTTTACATTAATTTGATTATTTTGTTTGTTTTTTGTTTTTTTTATTTCTGATACATTCAAAGTAGCTGCCAGACATAATCTCAAGTTTATTCCTGACTGGGAAATCCAATGTGCGACACTAATACCATGATATTAATGACACCTTACTATTTGAAGAATGTAAGTGATATACTGAGGATTGGTGTTCGAGATGTATTCCTTTCTGTCATACTAATGCTGTGGTATTTGGGTTTTTAAATGGCCCCTGGAGGCCCTGTGAGGCTTTTAATTCATCCTCTCTTTGACACCATGTATGTGAATATTGTAAGATGTTAAAAACTACTTAAAAGAGACTTATAAATAACTATATGAATGAGAGGCATTTAATTTAAGAAATGATTTTACTGTTCAAGAAACAAAGCCAACAGAATGAATAGAAACCGGAACCATGTATGTTGAACGTTGAAATCCCAATAAGAACGATTGGTGATGCAATGAGTTCCTAAAAAAAACATATCTTTTTGGTCTTGGTCCAAACAGTCTTTATGTTGTCTGTTTTTGTTATTCTTTTTAAACCAGTCAATCATGCACACAAATGCTCATGGGATCTTGATTTGAGCATGAAAAAGCTGTGCAAACGGAACAATGTGCACACTGGTAGGGCTGGAAGGGCTGAATGATTTGACTCTAGGAGGATGCCATATTTAAGCACCTGCACCAGTGCTCTATCTTTTATACCCCCCGCCTTTGCAAATGTTTTATTCCGCTGCTGTGTCTCATTACACAAGAACAGCACTAGCAGCTGAGTGAGGCAGATGTTCTATTGTAGAGCACGGCAACTCCTCAAGTGGCTAGCATCCATCTGAGTGCCTGTGTTACAGCTGGCAGCCACAGCTGAACCAGGACAATCCATCTCGATGAGGGGAGAAAGGTCTGGGATGAGGCGACGTGAAGATGGCATATGGGAATGGTTTTACTAAACACAGTATGGCAACAAGCTGCCCCGGGGCTACTCCCCAAGGGAAGACAACACTGTAGATGGAAGGCAGAAGATGGTTCGGGTCACAAGGCTCTGACGTTACTAACATTACTGACACACAGTGGCAATGCAGTCAGCTTACCAGCACTGAATTGAATGTAATACCTTCTGCATACACTGTAGTCCCTGCAACTATATGCTGCTGAAGGAAGAAGGGCGGCAGAAAGGAAAGAGATTCTGGGGGCAGCTGGTGGCAAGTGTCCAGTCAGGCTGTTTTGGCTTTTATGGTAGGCAATAAATGCCAGCAGACGGCAGATGCTGTATGGACAGCTTAGATCTATCACTGCAGCCTAAAGCCATGTTCACCATGCCTTGTTGTTGTGACCTCTCCTATCTCAAACCTTTTTCTCAGCATCCTCTGAAGCATCCTTTGAAGCTGTCCTTTGTAACACAATGCAACACAACCTAATCTTTAAGCATTAAAATAGTTCTTACAAGGCACAAATCTACAGACGCACACACACACACACACACAATGATTAACCATTGGAAGAGAATGTGAAATAATAAAGAATATAATATATAACACAAGTAAAACCTATTACATTAGTTCTTGAACTGTGCCATCAGTCATTAGTAGTCATCTGGCTTTTACTACTCAGATGTGACCCTTCCTGATCCAGCCACATCACATTCCACTCACTATTTACCACACAGAACAAACTCATAGAAAAATGGTTTTGGCTGTGAGCATGACAGACTGATTCATTGAAAAACGGTGGGGTGATCTGTTGCCTAACTGACACCGATTACAGTTAGGTCCTCTGCAGGCTGTCACAGTCACAGGCAGCTGCAGCAAGGTCCCAGGGATTCACAGTCAAGAATGTGTTTCATAAACAGTTGGGTGACAGTTTGGTGCTGGCGGGACTTTGAATCATCACTTACAGGATGACCTCCAACCCTCCAAGAGGTAGGAAAGGGGCAAAAAAAAAAAAAAAAAAGAAAAAGAAAAAGAAAAAAAAAAAAATCACACTGGAATTCAAACCGCTCAGTGATGCGAATGGACTTGGAGAGTATGATGTGACACGGATGCACACAAGTTTCCCTGGGCTTACACAGATGCTCATAGCCAGAGCTATAATATTGGACTCAGGTCTTCAAATCACTTTTCTTACAACTCAGAATAGTTTTCTTCACTCAGCAAACTTCAGCCCCTACTAGACTTTCTTCTCCACTACAAACTAAATAATGGTCTTCTAACTTTTCTTCACTGATTAGTCCAAATCTACACAATATGTCTGTGTTGAAGAGTACACTACAAAGCTCCTGGTGCTACAGTACACAGATCTACATGTCTGTCCATCCTTCATCATTATATTTACAATTAAAAAGTTGTGTGAACTGTTAATAGTATATTCTCGCATCTGTGTTGACATGTTGCAGAAACTGACTTAAACTGAAGACTGAAGTCCTGTTCATACCTTTGTGTGTGTGTGTCTCTCTCTTCATGAGGTTTGACCGGTCTACTAAGCTTGTTTTTGGAGATGTGATTAAAACACTAAGCTCATGGAACATAATGGTAATATCTACCAATTTAATATCTGTTTTCAAAATATGGCTGATTAAAGTCTGAACCAGAGAAAATTATCTCTGTGAATGAAGAGAATGTAAACCTCACAATTTAAAAAACCAATACAAAATAGCAGAATCCCAATTTTAAAGTTTAAATATTTTTATATATAGTTAAATATTATACTTGAGTATTTTTCTTACAAGATGAACAATAGGAGTTAAAAAATATTTGTTTTACTACCTGCAGTAAACTGTTTGTGATTGTGTATGTGACATATGGCCCCACCAGTGGCTGACAGCCGGTTCAGATTAGTGAGCAGTGAGTGAATATCCAATAAAGAAGCCTAGCAGCGACCCACACGCATAATTCTGTTCTGCATAAATGTGGCTTTTACACAGTTGCATTCTGTTAAAACATCAGATGAATACTTCTCTGATGCTGTCAAAGATTTTATAAGCCAGGATCTATATTAAAATGCAATAAACATGGAGCACTGTCATCTTAAATAACAGTGAATCCTTGATAGTATCCTATGTAGGGAAATCCACACTGTAGCTGTACTTGTAGGAGATGTATTTTCTCTCCCTCTCTCTCACTTTATGTTTGGCATTTAAAGTTGATTAAGTATGCAATATCTGTTCTTGTGGTTATCATAGCTTCAGAAGATTGAATGAATGAATGCTCATTCTTAAAATAAAGTTAACACTTGAAAATTGGTTCTTAATGCATGGATTCTTTGAAAAGATTAATTGGAAAAATTATGAAGTTTAAGTATTTGGCATTACTATCCAATATTTTGGCCACGATTTTGAATTACTTCTTCAAAACAATTTCTCGTTCAATAAAATTATATTATGGATATTCATTATAGTTAAATTAATCAAAATCTAGTTCTCTTCAAAGACTTCTGCTTGACTTCATTGTAACTGTGTTCTTTCTATTTGTTACCATCACGTTTGTGTGTCTTATAATCAGTTTTTGTTGTTTTAAAACAATAATACATTTTTTGCAACATGACAAAGAAGTATTTTGTAGCAATATCCTGATGCAGTCTTTTACCTTCGGTGCAAGGCTTTAATATTGAATCTGTTGAAATATATTATCATTGATGAATTTATCTTTTTTGTAAGAGATGTATTATACTCCATACCCCTTGACACATTATGTTATTGACTGCAGTTATCTGAATTTTTCAACAGCTCTATTGTTGTTACATACTGGATAATTTGATGAGACTTTTGCTGTACAATATGCCCTTTTACTAGCACCACTAATGACCTTAGGGAGTAGATACAAAACTGTAAAGGTAGGTATGTGTGCATACTGCAAGTAATCTATACTCTTTTTGCCCACACTTACACTGTACTTTATATGTTTAATTTAGACACTACAATACAGACACACAACTTTTGACATAGCCTCTTTAATATTGCATGTTTATACTTGTGTTTACTTGTTTTAATTTATCCCTACTGTATTTTATTTATTTAGCCACTGTAACCAGACAGTTACCCCACATATATTAACAAAGATGATTCTATATGCCCTGTGGCAGATTCTTGATGTCTTTGTAATGGCAACTCCAAGTTTTATTTTTCTGAGTCCTTGAGGGTGTCATGAACAGGCTGATCAACAGAAACCCAGTTTTGTGAAGATCCCATGGCTGATGGCAGAGGGCAAGCGAGACAGAGACATTTATGTGTGCTGATGGAGAGCTGATGCCAGGTGTCGTGGCCAATTGGAAGCACAGGATCTTTGTAGGACACAGGTGCTGGGGCCTGTCAATCTGTCTAAGGAAGGCTGACAATGTCCAACTCACCTGACATTGGCATGGAGTTGCTGGGAAAGCTCAGGTCATCTTCAGCGACCCAGGAGAAGCTCCAGTACCCTCTAGGAATGCCAGCAGCAGTCCTACCAGCCAGTGGCTCACCTGCAAAAACAGCAAATTCACAACTTACTTTGACAGTATTTGTTGCAGAGGTATCAGGTAAGAGGAAGGAAGACCATTATTAAAATGTTTTGGCGTTAAATTAAATAATGATTGCTCCTTGCTGTGTTTGTTTGGGCTGACTGGTTGCCACTGCTTTGGCATCCATACTGAGGTGCCATTTACTTGGTTTTCCAAAATCACTCATAGCTACTCTTATTACCATCTGTAAATGTTTGATCTGACAGTTTGACTCATCACTCATTACAATGCAAAGCCCTTTTCACTGAAAGCTTTACTATCTAAGAGAAACGCTTGAAGAGCTTGGCACGGCTTCGATCTTAATGGAGAGTGACAAAGTAATAGCTGTATAGCAGTAGTTGTATTTGGAATTCCTGTAATAACATTGAAAAGCAGTGTCGTATTTCACTTTATCAACATTTAAGAAAAAAGAAAACATCAACCTCAGCATTTCTAGGTCAATGAAGCATCTACAGCATTGATCAATACCTATAAAACTTGATTCATAGTTTAAAAAAAAAATCCTAGAGGCCACATGAATTGGTTATTGGGTATCGATAGGTTCCATAATTACCTGAGGACACATTTGTCTGATTTTGTTTGACTCTATCCTCACCTTCTAAACTTAGAGACTAATTATCACAAAATCGAACAGAAGTCTGCTAATGTACAGTACATGCAACTTTTTCTTATACTTCTTGTATCCCCACCTCTCCACATAGCCGTCACACACACACACAAACACACAAGCTATCTCTCTCACTTTGTCCTTAGTCCATGGATAATTAGTACAAAGTAACAGACCAATACACCACTGCCTAGGAAGGAGACTCCTGCATAAGTCCTGCAGTCATTTCAAATGAGCCTGAAAGAGCAATTGACTGTAAATGCTGCCTTTCATGGAACTGAACAGTAGAGTACATTATAGTTTCAGCCAAAGAAGACACAGTATTCAAGGTATTCTCTTCCTAAACACAGTCTTAAGTCTTTTGAGCACAAACCTCAAGTCACGTCTCAAGTAACTGTGTGTACAAGTCACAAACTTGAGTCCCCATCTCTGGCATGTTGGCCTTGATAAAAGCAAAGTTTTTACCACCCCTGTCTGTTTCTTTAGCAACCTTCTCTGTGTGCCTGTCATTCAGGGTGTACAGACAAATGCTCTTTGTCAGCATAAATCTTAGAATAGCAAATGCTCTTAGCAAGCCTATGTGCATAAGATGTCAACTCACACAACTGAAACGTGTCAATTCAATACTATTACTGCTAAAAATGCTTGCAGAGAGTTGCTGCTACAGGTACTAAATCAACCACTGGATGTCTCCAGCTGTGAGGAAGAACACAAGTAAGTTAAGCAGCCAATGTTTAAGTGAAATGTTTAAAATAAGACCTTTTAACCTGTAGAAAATTATGGCTGTCTAGTAGGGGTGTAAAGGTACACATGGTCACGGTTCAGTATGTACCTCAGTTTTGGGGTCATGGTCCGGTATGAGTTCAGTACAATGGAAAAAAAGCAACAAGTCCCAAATGCTTAATTCTAGGCTTCTTTTAATTTATTTACAGAAGTGCAAGTTACAGTTTGTCCCACCTAGTGTAGTTTAGAACTACCTGAGATAGTTGGTACAGCCTGTAGTATATTAAACAGTTAACAAAACATACTCTCACATAAGTCATATTTTTATGTAGTGCTGATAAAAAAAACAAAAGGCAATAGATCACAATCAGCTACAAAACTGAAAAGCATCTGTTGTTATAAAAGTAAAAAATAAATACTATAATAAAAAATACAAAGATTGTTTCAATTTGTTCCACTTGCAGTAGGCTATATATATATATATATATATATATATAAAAATATAAAAAAAAAAACTCACGATCAATCACCGCTCATGCAAGCCCGTAAATGGCTTAAGTGCGCACGAGATGGGACATTGTAACAAGGCTCGAGCACTTTTAATTTAATCTACTATTGCATATGGGCGCATAACCATTTAAATATATATGCCAATAGCTTTGGTAATATCTTTGGCACTGTCTGCTTTCACATCTAGAGGCTTCTTAAAACAGCAGGAATACGTTGTTGGACTCCTGTTTTTTGTTTTTTGCCTAGCTCCGTTGATTGGCACATCTGAGTGATGCCGTCTAACATGCATTAGCATGTTTGACGTGTTTCCACTGACATTATGCACAGCTGTAGATCAACACAGACACACCATCCTCGTCTGATCCCCCACTCGCACTCCATCGCTGTTGAATGCCACAGGGAACCTGAAATTTTCCTGCAAAGTAGGTGTAGAAGTAGGTGTGTGACTGACTTTTTTTCCGCTCAGACATATTCTTCGTATGACTACATGCACCGAACTGTGATGTTCGTACCGTGACAATTCTGGACGAATACACGTACCATTACACCCCTACTGTCTAGCTTTGAGTATTAAACAAACTGTGACAAATTTCTATCATCTCTAAAAATAACGAATCCAAACCGAGTATTTGTAAGCCTTAATGAATTGGTTAAGTGACATGTTCACAAGATGGAAGAAGGGTCAAGCACAATATCAGTGTTTTTTGTTTTGCTCTGAAGTGAGCTGATACCGATGTCAAATTGTCCTGTCTGTGCTGATGTATCACGCTTATTAAAAAAAAAGTATTTCACCAAAAAATAGATGAGGATGAAATAAACAATCATGAAGAAATAAAAAATAAACATGGTTTGTACAACTGTACAAAGAATAAGACAATTAATCAGATTAGCCATATGACATTAATTCCTACCCCAGCCTTAAAATGAGTGGTTTTAATTTGACTGCACTTCTTGGAAGGACAGAGCCCCGGTTTATCCTCAGGACTAGTTGCCTGGATGGTTTCATTGGTCAGGGCCTAGGTGAGTCTCTCTTGGTTTTAGGACCCTCCTTTCCTCCTTTTCTGGCTGTGTGGGAAAGCTGACTGTGGCCCTTACAGTGGGCCTAGTTTGGGGTCAACAGCTGTTGCTAAAGGGGAAACTGGCTGGCTGGTTGTATTCTGGATGGGCTGGCAGGCTGCTGCTGGAGCTGACTGGCTAGTTGGCTGCTTGGTAGCTGTAATTGCTGGTTGGCTTTCACACAAACTGATCAGCCACTGGGGGAGCTCTGACTGGCTGACTGACTTACCAGCTGTTGTAAGTGGTGGCTAGTTTTCTGACTGACTGACAACTGAGGACGGATTAGGGCAGGTTGCCAATATGTCCTGATATTACATGACTGTGTCCTGTATTCTATGAACAGGTAAAGGCCGCCTGAGGCAGGCATATCGTACCATGGCTACCTTGGAAAGGCACTTTCCCAACAGCTGGAAATACATCAGAGGGGCAAAGAAAGAGCAAGAGGATTTGGCTGGGCAGTCGCGTCTGGATTACTTAGCTTTGCCTCACTGCTCTGTTTGTAGGAGTGGTTGATATCCTCAGATCTCTGATGAACTGAAGGTCATGCCTTACATCTATGCACATAATGATGATTGTATAATGAGTTAGAGGCTGTTACACATGATTAAATCTCACAAATTAATATTATTGTGCTACCACAATAATATTTTGTCAATAATATTAGGGTAAGGGTTAGGGTTATTTTCTACAAATCAAAATAAATGTGTCTGAACTTTCCTTGAGATGATGTGGTGGTCAATACCACATCATGTGTCCAAGAAAAGTATAATGTTTCAACAACAATTTAGAAACAAATTAATCCGCAATTATTTTTTTGTAATTTTTCAAGGAAAACTGACAAACATATGTTGCTTCCAACTTCTCAAATGTGAGGATGTGAATTATTTTTGAGAGGGGTTGTAGCTGATTCAGTAGGGCTGGCTTGAGAAAAAAATGTTTTTTTTTTTATTCAAACCGATATTCATTTGAATAATCCCATATTGATTCATAAAATCATTGGATCACTCTTAGTAGATGCCTTATACAGTTATGGCCTTTTCCTGTGGATGGGTAAAGCTTAAGTCTTGTGTGACCAGCCTTCTCACATGAAGAGATCTGGCCACGTGAGACAAAAACATGGCAAATGCCGCTCCACTGTATGGCTGCAGCTTGTCTAAAGGCAGATGTATGGTTACATTTTGGATTTAAAAACTACAAAGACAGCGAAGAGTAGGAAAAAAAAAAAACAAAGCCATATGCAAGAAGAAGCTGTGTGTCCCCATTAGTGCACAATGTAGCCGGTGTACATTAGCAACACACATTACTTTCCTACCTATTATTTCTTGAGATGTGTCTCAACTGTTGGTCACGTTAAATAAAAAGCGCATTAATGTAACTGCTTCGGTGTCAATTCTTAATGTAAACATTGATATTTTTCACAATGCACCAGGTTAGAGGTAACTACTCACACACACATGCACCTGCAGGCCTTAAATTCAGACAACCGAGGCATTAAAGAGTGCATTTGTAATATTGTTTTTTGATTTGGACATTTATTATTTTAAAAGGATGTACCATCGTTAATTACTAACAGAAGGGTACCACATGGCCAAAGGAAAGAGAATGGGGGAAGGGGAGATGAGACAGAGGAGATGTGCAGTGGATTAGGACCAGGCAGGAGTACAGACCACTGATCTGGACCACAAGGATCACATGACAGACCAATGAGCAACTAGTTGGGACTACAAGGAGCATATGGACCACTGGTTCATATTTCTAAATATTTAAATAAAACTGCAATATCCAGTGCAACAATAAGTGTTTAGGCATAATCGAGAGTAGTATAGAGTATAGTTAATAGATAGAGCTTTATGATCTAACATTTATTCGGCTAACAGTGTTGTCGACACAGCCAGAGGAGGGAGACGGTAGACTAGAACCACAAGGACCACCCCACAGATCACTTACCAACTGGTCTGGACCACTAGCCTTAGTGCCCCTAGTGGTAGTAACCAGTGATCTGTTTTAGCGACCGTGGTCAGTAGACAGACCACTGAACTGGCTACAACCCCTGATGTTCTTTTCA